TAGGAATGTGTTGCGCAATGATGCGTACACCAGCTGGCATTATTTTCCATCTAAAGTTATTTAAATAGTGAACTCCACATAAAAGACAGATGTTGAAAATAGACTTCCACTAACCTGAGGTCAATGGCAAGGCCCTCATGCTTGACAAAATAGAGGTTTCTTTTCTAATTGAGACGATGAACATGTTTTTTGGTGGACAATGTAAAATTAAGGGATAATCTTTATTCACTAAATAGCTGGTTGGAGTTTACAAGTGATCTAATACTTTGTCGTTAGTAAGACCACCTTTTTCTTTTTTCTTGAATGTTTTTATTTTTAAATGTTGGCATATCTGAAATGTGCATTTTCAATCTTTGCTTAAAAACTTTAGTAGAGTGCTTAGAGCTTCAGCTGGAGGCTGACTGTGGAGCTGTGCAAGTCCAGGAACAGACAAGTTTCTCTCTTGCTTTTTCCACTTTCCGTGCATTTCCCTGAAATTATTTCTTGTCTATCTTCTGAGATTGCCGCATTGCTATAGCTAATAATTAATATAATTAACCCAAAGTTGTAGTATAATTACAGATATTTAAAGATCTAGAACTGTGCCCAAGATGGGCAAACTACCTGGGTTGAAGGCCAAGAAAGCTCTTCTGCCCATTACACCATTTAGTGAGTTATAAGTAATACAGTGAAATGCTACATGATGTGAAACCAAAGGGGATCATGGGAAAGTTGCACAAATCCTCTTTCCTTTCTTGATCCCAAGCTGGATAATTATTTCTGTATCATTTCTTTATTAAACAGTATGCTGGGATTCAGCTCTCCAAACTAGAGCTATCAGTAGCTGAGTTCCCTCAAGGGAGGGAAATGTGGTTTTTCTCCTGTGGTAGTCACCTAAAATCAGAGTGCAGTATCCAGAGAGCACAGGGTGAATTGCCACCGCCCAGGTCCCTGCACCCAATTACAGAGGTGTTCCTATTGCTTCTGTTGCAATGTGTAGCAAAGCTGCCCCCTCGAGCATCCCCTCCCAGCAGCAGAGCGGGTCCCACACTGGTGGCTTTGAGAAACCCCGCTTTTGCTTTGCCACACACTCAGTTTTTCATTGGCTTGGTGAGAAGCTCGTTAGCAGCAATACTGTGATTGTTAGAACACCTTTGGGGATGCAGGGTGTATTCCCAGCAAGGGTTGTATGACATTGATCCAGTATCCCTAGAAATGTGTACATTTTCTGCTCTGGCTCAGGCAGTACCTGCTGGTTTTGGGTGCAGCAACAGTTGCTGTGGCTGTGCACACCATCTCAGAGTCCCTCTGGTGGCATTTCCAACCCTGCCATCATCTCTGCTCTTCTCCCAGCAACAGGGAAAGCTAAAACTCTAGTGCTTTGCATCCCTCTTAAGCTTTCTTTTTCTGTTTCACAGCAAAAGGAGGGATGTTGACAAACATGGGCAGACCTGGCAGATCTCTGTGCTCACAGCAGGCAGAGCTGTGGTCAAGGATAGCTTCAACCCAAGGAGGTCCTGATCAGTCATACAGAGAAAGGTCTTCTATGGCCTCGTTAAGTAAACGGACTTGCAGAGCAGGTGTTAGCAAGGGCAGGTCCTGTCAATGTGCAGCATGTCGGTGAGACCATCTGAGACATCCAGCAGCTTTCAGGAACAAAAAGCCCATACTGGCATCTGTAGTCTGCTAATCGAAAGGATTTGCCATTGCTTTGGAGAAGTCCAAGGAGGTAGCATAGGGCCAACTACCCCTCCCGGGCTGGGGAAAGCCAGGGTGGACTCAGGGCGCCTAGCCCAGCCCCAAGTACTGCTGCTGGGCTGGTGCCTCACCTGGTGCCTCGTACTGACTGTGACCATCAGCCACTGCCTTCCTGGGAGCTGCAGGGGCTTGCTGGGGTGTACATGGACTCGTGGTGAGACGTGCCTTTCTTCTGCTGTAACCAGCGAGCAGCATCCTGGCACGGCAGGGCAGTGAGCAGGGCTGGGCAAGGCAGCTGCTGTCACTGCTAATGTGAACTGCTGCACCGTGAGCTGCGAGGTCTGAGCCCTGCACAGTTTTGGGTTCATCCCTTACAGTCTCTGTGGCTCAAATCTCATTTAAAAAAACAGTACAAACCTAACACTCCCTTTGACCCTAGCCGAAGCTACTGCTTGGGGTGAAACCCCTCTGGTTTGCTGAATTAGCCTTGTGAACAAGGCAGAGCAAATTGCATGCTGTGGCTGTAAGCAGACGTGAAGCAGCACACGAGTGGCGTTGATGGCCCTGCTGGGCTCTGCAGAGCGGTACACACTCTCTTTTGGTTTGGTCTGCTGCCTCTCTCACGCGGGTGCTTTTCTTCCCTTCTTGCACCCATTTACCCAAACTCAAATTTGAAAGCCCCTCAAAATCAGCAATGCATCCCCTGGCCCATGGGACTTGGCGTGCCTGCCCCGTGCAGCCCGGAGGTGCAAGAGGCGGCTCGGCTGAATTGCCGTTTTATTGAATCCTCTTCCTCACTAATTTGTTATTAAATTACGGTTAGTGTTTCATTAGAACCCCAATGGACATGAGTTCATTAGTGTTTTATTGGCTAGAACTGCGCTTTGTTGCATGGGAAATGTATCCCAGAGAGCTCCTGGACTCGTTGGAATGATTGCGCTAACGAGCTCTGGTTGGGGCAGGGTCTGCAGTAGCTCTCTAAGCGCATGGCTCGGACTTGCAAAGGAGCTTGGCTTTTGCCTCAGCATCAGAATAAAGGCTGGGATTTACGCAAGGGCTTAACAAATCTGGCTGGTCAGCCCTTCTGAGGATTTGACTTCTTTGCTCCCGTCAGTTCTTGCTGGAGTTTTACCGTGAGCCATCAGCACAAGGGGACTTTGGCTTCAGCGTGGCAGAGGGAAAACAGCTTTCCGCACAGCACTCCCCTCTGCCAGCCTTGGGGCGAGCCTGGGCAGAATCTCCTGCCTGTAGCCGGAGACTGCGGAAGCCTCTCCGAGGAGCTCTGCATTGGTTCTGTCCCCAAAACATATGCGGGGGCTGGGCAGCATCTTTGCTGAAACCTCCTGGCTGGCCTGTCTGCATTGCTGTCCTGGGGCTGTTACTCACCCAAAAACCAGGCTAAAAATAGTCTCTCTAACCCTGAGGTATTTTTCAGGGTTGCTGTCTCTTCTAAGTTCACATTAATTAGCGCTTGGGGTGGCCCAGAGTAGAAACCCCGTGGCTCCAGCAGCTCGGAGATGCAACTTGATGTTTATAATCAATGATTGTTAGGACCAATAAATCAGGCTGCAGTTCCACAAGGTGCCGTGCAGTCACTCCGGGTGCTGCGGAGAGCATCCAGCTCAGCCAGCGGCCCCTGGAAAAATTGCATGCAGAGCTTCAGAAGGGGCTGAGTTAATTACTCCAAGGTAGCTGGGCTGGAGCTCACTTTTTCAGGGCTAAATCGAAACATTCCTTTAGTGTTCAGTACCAGACACGCTGCTGTGGTCTCGGTACTGGTTTGGGGGTCTTAGGAAGGCACAGAGAGGGGACTCTTAGGTGCATTTTCACCTCTGCTTGTAATGTCAGGGAAGGGGAATATGAGAGATGGGACTTGGAAACTCACCCCCGTGGGCTCTTTGGTGAGGGACTCTGGTGAGACCCTTCTCCATGAGGAATAAGCCCTGCAAAGCAGCATATGTGTATGTGCTGGAGATTTTGAAGCTGACTGCAGCCGTGGTGGGAGCCTGAGCTCTGCTTTCTCTAGCCCATCACCATGGCTTCAGCCCCAGAGCGGGTGGGCTTGCACAGCTTGCCTTATCTGTACACTGGGGAGGGCAAAGCTGCGTTCCCCTCGCTGTTTTCTGAGTCATCAGTATCTCCCATCCCTGTGGGCAACTTCAAAATGGCTTTGAGGAATTGTATTTTCAGGTCTTTTATCATTCGATCACAGGTCAGGGCCAGCAGCTTTTCCTGCCTGCTGGCTCTGGCTGCCAAAGTTAATACATCATGCAGTGCTGGAAATGTCACATGGAGGCTTGGCGCAGACTGGAGGCAGGGCTTTGCATCGGGGCGACTGCCCTGTGCTCTTTTTCCAGAGACACTGGTGAAATAATGAGAGGATAAATTAAATTCCTCTTCCTTGGGCTCGTGAGGTGCAGGTTTTTCTGCTGCTGGGCGGGCGCAGAGTATCTGTCCCCATGGCTGTGCACAGCACCCTGCCTGTGGGACTAGCACATCAGGTACCTGATGTGGGTGCACCCATGGTAGACTGGTTATGGGACTCCACAAAAGTCCCAGAGCAGGAGGTTACTCAGCCTAGTGGCTCATCTAGCCTATTACCCAACCAGCCCCCTCCCTGCTTGGGAGACTCTAAATGCAAAAGTGGCTGGGTTTTGGGGGATCTCATTCTCTCCCTGGGCCAGACGACAGCTTTGTGTTTAGTCACTGATCTTTGGAGGTCCTGTGGGGTTTTTTTCCTGTCCAGTGACTTCTAATTGAAGTGGGTAATTGCATTATCCCTTTTTCCCTGGAGAGGTTCACAGAGTCTTCAGCAATCATCTTCAGTTTTATACTGAGCCCAAAAAAAACCCACTCAAAATGCCATTTCCCTTACCAGAGCTCAGCAATGGCCACGAGCCAGTGGGACAAACCCGTCCGGGCTGCAGAGCCCTGGGGGCTGGCAGGGCTGTAGAGGTGGGGGTCCCTCTCCAGGAAGGTACAGCCCTTTGGAGGGGCAGAGCGAGTGCCTTTGAAACACAAGTTAACATTTCCAGCAGCATCCTGGGCTGAGCAAAGCATTATCCACATCCAGGGGCCTGATCGCTTTGGGGTGTGCTCCCCTGGATTTTGGGCACGGGGACAGTGCGGGCCAAAAAAGGCCCCCTGTCCTGTCCCAGCATGGATGCACAGGCTGGTGCGGGCATGTGCTCAGGGAGGCACATGGGGTTGCGGAAACCTTTCTCTGTCCCTCTTGCCCCTTCCTATTGGAGCCTCTTCAGCCCTCCCTTGGGCTTTCCTGGCACAGGAAGGCTAATTCAGGTGTTTTCTTCCATTCCCTGCAGTATGAGTTTAAAGCCAAGAATATCAAGAAGAAGAAAGTGAGTCTTATCGTGTCAGTGGATGGTGTGAAGGTCATTCTGAAGAAGAAGAAGAAGGTAGGCAGCCCTGGTCCCTGGGGCAGCAGTAAGAGCCCTCCCCTCATGGTGCAGCGACCTGCAGTGTCCTTGAATTTCTGAGAAACTGGTGGGTTGGGAGAGAGAGGGATGGGCTGGGATCAGCCACGGATGAGCACTGTTCCTGCAGGGTGGCTGAGCCAGTCCTGCTGTGGGTATAGGAGGGGCTTGGGGGCACCTGTGGGAGGTTATGTGGGACATCACTGGTCCCCTGCAGGACCCGGCCCTTGGTGAAAGGTTGCAGAAGAGCAGCAGCAGAGTTGTGACAAGAGCTTCCCAGGTCTGTCCCTGGACTGTCTTTGCCCTGTCCTTGATCTCAAGGGCAGCATCTGACGTGCTGATTTTCAGCTTCTTTCATTGCAGAAAAAAGAATGGGCCTGGGATGAGAACAAAATGCTCGTCATGCACGATCCCATCTACAGGTAAGCCTGCTTGGTGAGGGGACAGAGACTTGGGTGGCTCTGCCATGCCGTTTACCCTACACCACACTGGCACCGTGCTGGGGACTGACCACGAAGAGCCATCGCTGTCCCCGCAGAGGGCAGCTGCCCTCTCTTGCTGTGCTCTCCAAAAGTCACTAGCTGTCTTCCTCCATCTCGTTGGCAAAAGTTGAGAGCATGGGGTGTCTGTGTCGGGGGAAAGCTGAATGCGAGTGAGGAATGGCCCCAGCTGTGCCAGGGAGGGGGCAGCAGGTGCCTGAGCAAGGAGGCCAGCTCTCCGAGCAGGCAAGGTGGAGGAGTGAGGTTTGCTCTCCTCAGTCGCTGGAAGGTTCCTGGGCTGCCAGTTCTGTCCCTGGGGGCTGAGCAGAGAAAGCCCCATGCTGCCTTCACAAAAAGCTTGCTGATGCTGAGTCAGCAGGCTAATTTTCCCAGCCAAGGCAAAACCACTGCCAAAAAAATTTCTGATGGGCTTTAGCAGGGACGTGCTGCAGAGGCTGGGCATCTGCCAGCACCCTAGGACGTGCCCTGGGAAGTGCTGGCTGCGGCCTTGCCTGTCTCCTGGGCACTGTGGGTAATATGTGTGTTGTAGCTGATATCCTACCCTCCTTTCTGTCCTTGCAGGATATTCTATGTGTCTCATGACTCCCAGGACCTGAAGATTTTCAGCTATATTGCTAGGGATGGGTCTAGCAATGTCTTCAGGTGCAATGTCTTCAAATCCAAGAAGAAGGTAAAGATGCTGGGATGTGCATGTCACCATCGCAGGGTCTCAGTGGGGCGGCTGGGGGAGGACCCCATGGCACTGCGCTGCAGCTGGCAGCCCGGAGCACCCTGGTGATCTGAGCTCTGGTGCCTCAGTCCCTGCAGCAGCACACGGAGACCCCCAAGAGCTGCGCCAGGCTTGGGAGGTCACTGGGCAGGGGCAGCCCAGCTGAGGTTACATTCCTCCACTCCTTGCCCCCTGCAGAGCCAAGCCATGCGCATCGTCCGGACGGTGGGGCAGGCCTTTGAGGTCTGCCATAAGCTGAGCCTGCAGCACACCCAGCAAAACGCAGACGGGCAGGAGGACGGAGACAGTGAGAGGAACGGGGATGACCTGGATGTCCCAGGTACTCTGCGAGGGCGAAGGTGGGGGTGGTCTGGGTGTCCTGGAGCCTGGCAGACGCAGTCTGCAGAGTCACAGTCTTCCCATACCACTCCTTGCTGGGCGACACCTGTGGAGAACGGATTTGCACAGCAGTCTGGCCTGCAGCACATCGGGCTCAAGCTGGGATCTTGCCCAGCAAGGAGCCTTCACTAGGTGTTAGCCATCATCCTCGCAGACATCCCCCTTGCTGAGAGCCTATTAGCAGCGCCTGGGACTCTGCTGGGCGCCTAAATACTCTCCATGCTCGGCTGCACACGCTGCAAACATTTCCTCGCTGCTTCCACAGAAGAGGCCCTAGCACAGACCTTCCCTGTGTCCCGAGGTGCTTGCCGGGCTGGGGCTGGCTCTCTGCCATTCCCTGCATGTGTGAAGCTGCGCTTGGGGTCTTGCATCAAGCTCCCGGGGCTGCAGGCAGCCTGTGGACTCCCTCTCCCTTCTCAACCCTGTGGCTGGAGGGTACAGGGATGCTCCTGACTGGAGGGCTGCTGGTCCAGCTGTGCTCCTTGGTGCCAGCGGCTGTGCTGGAGGGCAGACATGTTTTACGAAAGGTTGGTCAAACACCCCTGAGTGCCCGTCGGGATGTTGGGGGGTCCTGCTGCCTGTCCATGTGTGGGCTGCCTGCCCTGCAGCCCCGTGCTGGATGCTAGTTCCCCCCATCCCAACAGGAGCAGCCTGGGCTGTGCCATGTGTTTCCTGCCTGCTCTGCAACCAGCACTGTCGTGATGACCTAATCACTGGGCTGTCCTGGACTGGTCATTGTTTGGTTTTCCTCCACACAGTGTCCTGGCCATGATATGCAGTTCCCTGGGGATTTCTGAGCATCCGTTTTTTTGTTTTGTTTTATTTTTTCCCCCCATAATCTCTTGTTTACCTTTCCTTAGATTTCTCTGTGTGTTCTGCTCTTGATGGCCCATTTGTCCCATATCAGGGGTTTTGTTCCCCAGGTTTGGTGGCTGGGGCTGGGTGTGTTTTTGGCCGCCAAGCTCCATCCCGAGCAGCAGCAGGAAGCGCGGCTGG